ACTGGAGCATTATCACCATCACCATGCACTTAAGCACTATCTTCATCACGATCATCAAAATCAGGAGCAGGGTGCTGGCGAAGCTCAGAAGAGCGAGTCGTTCTACCAGGCGTCGGTGGACTTTGCACGGTGTCGTTGGAGTGTCCGTTGTTGTCTCATATTAGTGCATGGTGCGGCAAGGCTTCCTTGGGAACTGCGGTCAATTAAGAGGCGTTCCACGTGCGGCCATTTTCACGTCAGAAGGCCCAGCGTGCTGTTCGCTTGAGAATTTTCAAAGGAGGTCCAAAAGGGGCAGTGCCTTTCAGACGAGGGACTGGCTTCTTCACCCTCATGTACTTTCCAACTTGGAACTTGAGTACTTGGGCAGCTCTCCGACAGTCGGCATAATCCTTTCTTTTACGTTGGCGCTCTTCCACTCTCTTGCGAAGTGAAGACATCTCCTGAGCGGGATCGGCGAAGAAGTTCACAGTGGGATAGCCATTGACATCGAAAGATGTCCTCATGTGTTGGCTATGTAAAAGCACTGCCGGAGAGAGCCCAGTGGTACTTTAAGGAGTGGCTCTGTATATTCCCAAGTACTCTGTAACAGTATTTTGTATTGGGCACTGCTTCACTATTGCCAACTGAATGTATGATTTGAAGACACGGTTAAACCTTTCTGTTGGCTTGGGGTGATACACAGCCGAAAAGCCGTGTTTGATACCCCTGTCTTGAAGAAAATACAAATTCTTGAGATGTAAACTGTGGTTCGTGATCCGAGACAAGTTCAACCGGATAGACTTCCCATGCAAATATCAACAAGAGGAAAGCAAGCACTCTGTGGGAGGAGGCTTTATGGCAGATGGCTATTTCCGCCCACTTCGAGAAGTAATCAACTACAGAGATGACAGAACGACAGTCAACCGATGCAGGCTCAAATGGCTCAACAACATCAATAGCTATCCTGCTCCAAGGCCAGTCAGGAAGAGCTACTGGCTGCAGTGGAGTGGGCTAGCTCTTAAAACTCTTGTCTGCAGCTTGGCAGGTTGCGCAACTGTGGATAGCACTCTCAACTTGTTTATCCAGACCTGGCCACCAGTAGTTTTCGTGAAGACGTTGCCTTGTCTTCACTATTCCCAAGTGTGATTCATGGGCTAGTTGAATGAATGTAGGTGTGAGCTTGGCTGGAACTACAACGCGTTCCGAGCGCATCAACAGGCCGTCCACTATGGATAGTTCCCCTCACACCAGAGCTTGCTCCAGGTTTCTCACATGCTCTAGTCCTGCCAAAGATGATGATATCGTCTATGTAGCAGAGGACCCCCTTGCAACCCTGCAGGATTGTAGTCGTGAGTTTCTGAAATGTGGCTGGGGCAGACGCCAATCCGAAGCACACTCTTTTTAACTGAAAAAGGCCATCGTAGGTAATGGAAGCCGTGAGGTCCGGATGAAGGGTAACTTGGTAATATGCAGAGGCCAAAGTTGAGCTTTGAGAAGTAACGCGCACCATTAAGAGATCGCAGTAGCTCTTTCGTATGAGGCAGGGGGAAGCTATCAACTACAATTGCCTTGTTGGACTCTCTAAGGTCAACGTATAGGCGGATGCTGTCATCTTTCTTGCAGACTACAAATATTGGAGAGATTCATTCAAAGGCGTTAGCCCTTTCAATTACATCATCAAAGAGGAGCTGCAGAAGCTGGTCGCTCACTGGCTTGCACAGGGAAAGTGGGAGGCAAATCAGCTTCTGCACCACTAGAAGGACTGACGACTTCATTTTCACCTGATGCTGGACGCCTTTCGCCAGGCCAAGGCCCACTGAAAATAAGTGTGAAAACTCGGCCCACAACAGAGGTGGCATATTGAACTTGGGCAGGCTTGCAGTAACTGCGCCGTCCGTATGCGCATATGTTGCCGTTTTCTTACTCATGGTCTCTGACGCTTCGGCAGCCATGCAGAGGCAGCGCAGCTGTGCGTCTACAGTGTGCAGTCCCAAAGCTTTCACCGCGTCCAGATCCAGAAGAGAAGTTCCTCGGGGGATAATATGAAATGCTATTGCGACTGTTTCCTCTTTAAATGAGATGCCTGCTTTAAACTGGACCAGTACGAGAATCTTCCGGCGTTGGAAATCCAACAACGTAAGGGCAGAGCTGTTTAACTGAATCCCTTCGAACATGTTTCGAAATTCTTGTTTTCTTATAATTGACACAGCTGATCCCATGTCGACCATAAACCTAGCAACGCACGGTTTGAGCTTGAGGCGACTGGCATAACTACTACATCAATGTAAACGCCCTTGCGTCCATTTTCGTGAACAATGAGTAGGCTATGACATCTGATGCATCTTGTTCAGGAAGTACGTCTTCGATGCAAGTCGGGCGTTGTTCTCGTGCTCTGCGTGAGCTACGACACACTCGCATAAAGTGGCCACCGCGGCCACATGTGAAGCAGGTTCTACCGCGAACTGGACATGCCATCGATTCACAGTACCGTGTGCCACAATTACCACTAGTCTGGATATTTTCGGTGTTCTGAACATCGGCAGCAAAAACATCGCTGTACTGAACATCGGCATCTGGAGATGGCGAGCTCGTTTGCGAGCGTGCGGCAAGGTAAGGCAGCTCTGATAAGGGGGGGCGTGCCTCGTACCGGCTACTCATGCGTGCTTCGTTCGCAAGCGTCCTACTGACAGTGTGTGCGTGTGATTCGTTTAACAGAATTATAAAAAGCTTTTGACTGTAGCTGGGCTCGCTTGCTAAGTAGCGCAATTTCAACAGCACGGTCGAACGTCAACGTGTCGTCCTCCAAGGACAACCGTGATCGCAACTGCGGGGATGCAACTCCGGTAATGAACTGATCACACATATTATCGTTGGCTTGCTCGGCGGAATGGCAAGAAGCTGCCAGTTCGAGAAACGCGAGGCTGAAGTCGGGGATGGACTCACCATGTAGCTGACGGCGCTCTCGGAAGTGATGTCGTTCTAGGCGAATGTTGCACGCGCCGGCGAAATGTGGTTCTAGAACCTCACAAGCCGCGTATTATACGTCTGGGAGGCTCGCGGCCGCTTCTTGCTTGGGGGCCACGCTACGGTCTTTGCCTTCACCGGTGGAAGTAGGGGTGGCGGCTAACGCCTCAGTGGTCGGTAGCTGCAATGCTGTGGGTCTCAATGGAAGCGCATCGAAAATGTGTTGTTCTTCAGGGCCCAGGCAGTGCAACGGCAGGGCTCGATGGCGGGCCGCAGGCAGGTCGGAAGCTCTGGAGGTGAGAAGAAAATTTCAAAGAGGCATATCTAGCGGCTTTATAGTATGGCTGGAGTACCGGGAGTGGCGAGAAAGGGAGGCGGTGGCGAAAGCGTGGCGGAAGCTATCGTGGTGTGATCGAAAACCTCGCCGCCAGATTGTAGAGTCGGCAACACGGCGCGACTGAGAACAAGGAGCACTCTCAACTCATGCCATACAAGAACTGCTTTATTCTGGGGATAGTCGTGTTTATATATGTCAGAGGTGCCCCCATCTCTTGACAACCGTGGAACGTAACTAAAGTAACCTTGTGTCGATCTTCGACTCTACAGACATCATGTTTTGCACACTTCTGATTGCCAGATCAGAATTAAATTTTGTTCACTTACTCCTCAGCATGTGAAGGGTGCAAGTATCTTTTTTAAAATTATATCGCCTGAAAATCATTTTGCCTCCTCGGGCAAGGGTGCCCCTTGCCTGAGGAGGGGTAATCAGTGCTTCGTTGCGCGTGCTCAAAGCGCTCTTCATATTCGATCATTATCCCTGCCGCGTGGATGCTTGATAGGGAGTCTATGCGTCCCGAATGCCTAGTCGGTGGCACATGGCATACTGTATATAGCTGAGTGCAGGCCTATCGAGGGCTGCAGTCCGTATGATATTCTAGCAGATGACAATGCACCGAATAATTATTATGAACCTAGAGAAAACAATTAGTTTTGACTCAGAATTTTAAGAATTCTGAGATGACAATTTTTTTTTATCAAATAAATTATATTATGCATGTTTTCTTGATAATTATTTGCACTGTACAATTAGTGTGCAGTAGTATGGATTTTTAATGGCTCTGAACCCTAAAAGTTAGTGGGATAAAAAGTTTGTCTGAAATGAACTATACTTTAGACAGTTGTGGCACAAAATAAGAACTTTACAACTTACTCTGTTAAAATGAATTACATATTTGAAACCAGCATGAAACCCCATATAAAGCGAAAAATTTCGTTGCCCTAGGCTCGAAATATTTTGACACTTTTTAATCTAATGGCATCTCCCCATAAAAGGGATTTGATCAGAAAGGCTTGCTCCGAAAAAAAGTTTTGCCTGCAGACACATAACAGCAGACGATCTCTTTTTCAGAGGTGTATCTTTTCTGGAAATGTTAATTCTTTCACCTAGGCTCATGATACAAATAAATTTCATATCTCGTGGGCCTCATGGCTGCCATCTAGGGGAAGGATACAATTCTTTCACATCATGCCATTTTTTTTTTCTTTAATTATGTTCTTCCCTTCTTCTCTTAGAAAGCACAATAAGCCCTTTAAGCTTACTGTCTTCAGTACTACTATAAGCACATCGATAGTCTCAGGGATGGTATGCAACACTTAGTGGGTTGTATGCATGTTTACAAGGAGCGCATCATCCTAACATGTATGGTCAACGCTGTTGACTGAACAGCCTTGGACACACACAAAGAACAACTCCTGAAGTGATCATGGAGAGACATTGGATTGTATGTATATATAGATACATAGTTCCATTTCGACATTTTACGTTTTGAAAGCAGGTATCACACTTTCAGTGCTGTTTTCGAAAGAAAACTCAACAGAAACGGTCAGCACCATGTGTCTGGGAGGCAATGCCTCTTCATTAAAAAAGTCTTTCAACTTTGTTAAAGACCGCTTGTGTAAAAGAGGTGTTGCACACTCGTTTGATGTGGGTATTAGTTGACTTCGTGGGACAATGCCAATCCAATGACTCGTGAGGTACCATTCTCCCCATGTTGCAGGCCTCGGAGGCGGCTATAACGAACGTGAAAGTGTCGAGTACGTGGAACGGGAGGAATCAGACAGTGAATACGATGACGTGAGTGTTTTCTACAGTTGCTTATCTATCGCATTCAACTCTTGTTGCATGTACCATAAAATGCCAAGCAAGCCCCCCCCCCCCCCCCCCCTCTTCTTAGGGTGAAGGATAAGTCGACCAGATTTGGAAGGAAGGCGCTTGCTCGTATCTGCACCGGTCAGTGGCACTTGTTTCAGATCTCTGAAAAAAGGAAGGGATGCGCTTGCTTGCATGGGAAAAAAAGTAGAAATTTTAACGGCTTCGTTTTTTCTTTTTTAGACATACAAAAACAAGCGCTTAAAATTTGCACTTTTTTTTTCATTCATAGGAAGGGTATCATTCTAATAAACTTCATGCTTTCAGGTAGTATGCGAGGAATTATTGGTCAGCTGCCAGTACGTAATAGCATCACGTGCTTATTGATGTCAGCAGGCAAAAAAAAATGGGGAGGGGGGTTTGCGCACTCGCACTTATGGCTACTTGTAGCGCTGACTAAAACTCCCTCATTTAAAGGCACATATATAAGGTTGCTGTATAAAGTGGACGGGGGAACGACCGCTGCCTGCTGTGCTAGCCAGCACAGCCTCGTGCCATGCTTGTGCCATTAATATAACGGTGAGCTATTCATATGCACCATTTACTGCTGGTGGTATGCAGATCTCGGAACAGCTTGATCGTATTTTTTCTATCACCAACGCTTTTACATTTTCTTTCAAATTGAAAACTGCCCTTGATATTGGCAAAGAAAAAGTGGCCCGCTTCTGTACCACTCATGATGTGGAAGAGAGAGGAGAGAAAACATTTATTGAGTAATGCTTGTGAGTGAAGGTGGGAGGGTCCCTTATTCCAGGAACCCTCTGGCCTGGACTGCCTGCCAGGCTCGAGCGACGAGTTGACGCTGGTCGACCAGATTTGGGTGGGAATACCCTAAGTTGTGATGAAGTGGTGACTGCAGACACAAATGTATTTCTTTTTCTTCACGTTTTCTCGGTTAATGCGCGCCAGCCAACTGATATGGCGCTTTTCGAACATCCTTGTTTGTGCGCACTGATTTGTAATAATCACAGGAAAACTAAACATTCTAATGCATGATTGTGCCTTGCCTTTAGAAGCAGAAATTTCTTTTCTTGTTCTGCACCCACACAAATAGTCATGGTGAAGGCAATAGCACAACCGAACACCAGATTTTGAAGATGCAAAGCTCCGGACAACACTTCCAGGCAGCTGCGTATGTTGACAAACATGGCGGTTCTTAATCTTCTTGTCTCCAGATGTGATGTATGTGCAACCCATGTATAAATAAACCTACAGAAGATGTGTGGTGAAAAAAAAAAAGGAAGAAATGCCAACTACTGTAAAGACACCTTAGAACTAAACAAGAAGTTTCGGTTCTCACACGGGAGCCTTGTTCACAATGAAGTTCAAATGTATGACAAGTTGAGTACATTTTAGTAGGCATCTCAAGCACCTTCTGTGAGGAAAGTTTTCATCATTGCTGTTGAGCGTGCGCTCTGTTGTCTGTATTGTCAGTGATTCAAGATAAAGACGTGAAGACAAATTTTCCTCTAGTTCAGGGATGCTGGCGTAGTCCCAGTTGATTGTATGGCCAATTGTTTCTGCTTGTTCTACCAATGCATAAGATGCAGTATTTTTCGGACGTCGTAGTGGTATTGTTTCACTCTCTGGGATTCTGTCAAACTGGGGGTTTTGAAGATGTAGTGTTTGTCCTGATTGTTTACTTTTTTTTTTTTCTTTCCCCAGTTTGGCCGCCGTAAGAAGCGGCCTCGAAGAGACGATCATTCAGCCAGCCCCATTTCTCGGCGAGCAGAAAGGGCAAATGAAGAAAAGAACAATGAAGATCGTGGCGACGACAATGATGGTGATGGTGATGATGATAATGAGGAGGAGGAGGATGATGATGATGATGGCGATGATGATGGCGATCTTTCCAAGTACGACCTGAGTGGCTGGGATTCTCCTTCCAGGTAAGCAGTTGTATAGTACTATTCAATTCAATTCATTTCATCATCAAAGGAAACATTACGAAAATCGCAACAGTGATCTGTGAGGTGAAAGCAAAAAGCCATTAAAGCTTGCCGAAGGCTTTCACACCATTTGACAACGTAGCTACAGAAGCATGAGATTATCAGTCATTACATAGTAGTACTGTAGTGAAAAGGCAGAGGAAGAAGGCTGCTACATGCGTTACCAAAAGCCAACTGTTTTATTCCATGGCCCGCACGCTCACCTTCTTGCGACATCGACATCGTTCTCTTCGCTGCGTCAGCACGGCAAAACGTGACAGGGCCGCCTGTGAGTAAACAAAGTCGTAGTCAAAAAATTACGGCATATTCACGGGGTGAATGATGATGAATGGGCGAAGCTCCGGAGGGATTCATCGGTAAACTGTGAATCTTCCGTGTAATTCGCCCAGTCGATCGTCATGTAAAGACTGGAGAAACGCTGTGTGTGTATATACACAAATCAACTTTTATTTGTTCTGAGACGATGGATGGCTTGCGATGTCCCTTCATTATGACGGCTTTATGGTCTGTGCCTTGCGCTCTCTCCGCTGTGCAGCCTTATCCATCCGGCGACTCTGAGCGCGCGCCAACAGCGAATGGATTTTATTACAACGCTCCCCCTAGCGTACGTCGCCGCACTAAATCGAACGATTGCCTTCAACCAATGACACGCGCCATATGTGACATCATTCCTATTTTATAATATCTCGCGTCTTTCATCAACTACAAGTACCGCTTTCTAGTTTATAACATCTTGCATCTTTTCATCATCAGCTACAAGTACCACCATCTAGTAAACACTACAAGAACTAAACGAGAGGTGGCTACATACAGGAGACGGTACCGCCATCTAGTGAACACTGCAAGAACTAAACTAGAGGTGGCTACATACAGGGGACGGTACCTCCATCTAGTGAACACAGCAAGAACAAAACCAGAGGTGGCTACATACAGGCTACAGGGGACGCACAGCCCACGCCCTAAGGAGCTTCGCCCCTAAAAGTGTTTACTTGACGATCCTGGTCAAAAGGGTGGTGTGGCAAAAGGGTGTCCAACTTTCTTGGGGAGGTCGGGGCTAAGAGTTTTGCAGAGGTCGGGTAGTGCACAGGAGCGTTCCGCCAGGTGTAGCCAAATGAGGCTCTTTCATGCCTCAGGTTAGATAGCTTCCTTCAAAGCTGGTCTGGATGTTGCTTCATAAGTTAAGTCACCTAGCCGGCGAAGGACCTTATATGGACCAAAGTATCGTCGAAGGAGCTTTTCTGACAGGCCACGGCGACGTATTGGTGTCCAGATCCATGCGTGATGACCTGGCTGGTACTTAACTCCCCTGCGGCGCAGGTTGTAGTAGTCCGCATCTTTGAACTGTTGATGTATTCAGTGCCTTGCCAACTGGCGTGCTTCTTCAGCTTTCTGCAGAAATGTGTCAATGTCCGATGGCTCATAGTGGTCATTGTCGACTGGGAGCATGACGTCGAGAGTTGAATTGACTATACGACTATAGACAAGCTGAAATGAAGTGAGCTGCTGCAGTGCTCTTTCTATGGTGGTGGCTTCTGTTCGGAATTCAGCAACGGTACGTGGAGGATTGCGAACCAGCCCTGCAAATAAGTCCTGCTTGACTCCACGCGTCAAATGGCACACTTTCTTTTCTTCGGTCATATTCCGATCGGCACGTTTGAAGAGGCAGGACATGATTTCAATATACATTTTGACACTCTCGTTCGTGCATTGGTTTCTTGATGGAAGGGCATTTTCTGCCCTTTCCCGGCGAACCGTGCTGGCATACGCTGCAAGCAAATGCTGCCGAAAGTCTTCCCACGTCGTTATCGCCCCTTCATAGTTCTCAAACCATATTCTCACTCCATCCTCCAATGCAAAGTACACACGGCCCAATTTTCTCGCCTCATCCCAGGCATTCGTCCTTGAGACCCGCTCGAAATGCTCCAGCCAGTCTTCCACATCTTTGTACGCGTCACTGAGGAAGGGTTCTGGTAAGCACGGGGGAGACTCGATGAGTTGAGATGTTGAAGCTGGATTGGCCATTTCTTTGAAGTTGGCGGTTACCGCTGCCTGTGTTGCTGGAGCAGTGAGGAGTGGTCCGAATTCAGGTGACTCAGGTGAGGCGGCGGCTTGAACGCTGGTGTACTGGAGTAAGTTCGCCAGGCTCCAATCGCTGATGGTCAGGGCTTCTTTCTCTATCGCCAAGGGGACCTCCAATCATACCAAGCACCTCCACCAGAATGTCACGTAATAGAAGAGGGGGAACACACGCACAATGATTTATTGAGAGTGAACTTGTGCCCACAAAAGTAGCTATGACACAAAGAAGAGTCTGCTGAAAGCGTTCCGCATACGTGTCCCTTTCTGAACAACAACCAGGTCAGTCTTCCCGGCTCGTGCTCGTGCACGAGAGGCATGCGCTGCCCTGCTGCACCAAGATGCGCGAGCACGCGCGAGGCACTGCAGACGCCCACGTAGCGTCTCCTTGGTTCTCTTCGTAAAATTATTTGTAGGAGCAACCTCTGCGGCAATATATATAATAATGTGAAATATCCTCGACGCACAAAAAAAAAAAACGAAACAATAGACCAACAAAATATATGCTCCTTTATAGCCTGAGCGGAACTTGGTGACATAATTTGGGAAGTGTGTTCTTAAATGCTATAGTTTAGCAAAAAATATTGCAATGTAGGAGATCTAGTGTGTTTTGTTGGTCGAGTTCTAACAGGATAAAAGTGTGGCAGATCACTTATTTCCAAGTTTTACCAACCATTATATTTTAAACAAGTTTTATAAGAAAATTATTTGTTTTGGTCATGAGTGCACTAGGGGAGAATCTGTTCGCTTATATTTATCGGAAATAAATCTAATGGCTTTGCACTTAATCATTTCAAGCCTGTCTTTTAACAATAAGCATTTAATGTTCATTGTGCAATGCAGCCCCGCATCCAGTGGAAAGCCAGAAAAGGAACCGCCGCTGGAGGAAAAGAAGGCTGAAGGAGCGTCCAGGTCCAGGTTTGCCGGGTGACATGCAACTGTTTTGTGCCCGAGTGGCCGTAGTTGCATGACATTTTGCTGTAGTGTAAAAGAACACTGCAGGGTACTAATTAGATCTACAGGGAAAACAAGCTTCATTTTAAAGGGATGCTGAAAAGCAAAACAATCTTACTTTATTTTGTAAATTCTCTTTCACTGTGATAAAAACGGTTAATTTGCCTTGAGGAGACTCTTGGTAATCGAGAGAAAATAAAAAAAATGGAATTGCGACACCACTTTGAAAATTCTGCACCATTCGCTGTGATGCAACATATTTTGACAACGCTTATTAGAGCCTGTGTTGTTATTAATCAGTAACAATGAAATGTGTCCTCTGAGGGGTCCGTAGACTTACCATACCAAGTCTGAGAAATTTTGTCGAGGCAGTGGCACCAAAATATGACACACTTTGATATCAGCGACGTCAGGCATAGAGATTTCAACAAGCAACTTAGTAGCATTGAAATTTTCAACTTGATTTTCTCCTTTATTAATAAATGTATAATGGTGAAATTAACATCAATAGAATTTTTAGAGTACAATTTATCAATCTAAACTGATTATTTGTTTCGCTTTAGTGCCCCTTCACTTAGGGGTGAGACACACTTGCTCTTAGTGGTGACCCATGTCTGTCATTTGCCACGATGAAAGGCAAGGTACAAGATAGAATGCTTGCTTCAGCAAACCCACTAAACACACGAGTATCGTAAAAGTGATAGCTTTGCAAGCTATTATCAATTCATTTTTAAAAATTCTTGTAGGCGTACACAAAAGACGGAGACTCACAGAGAAGCTTTGGGTGAACCTTGCTTCTGTATGGCCCCATTTTTTGCATCCTACAAAAATGTTTTAACAGGAACATGAGTCTTTCTGCAACAGATCAGTTTCAGCCATTTTGTTGATCACCTCAATTGTACTACAAAATAATTGTTCTTATTTGCGGCCCTGAAAATGGATATTTGATACAACAATATTTCGGAGAGAAAAAATTGTGTGCTAGCCCTCTAAGTTTACGAAAATATGACCTGAGCCATAAGTGCGCACAAGGTTTGCCTGGGAAGAGGGGAGAGGGCATAGGTTCATCACAGTGCCATCCCTTCATAATAAATCAATATATATGAAGCACACTTCGCCACCACCACCCCTCTTCGTCAATCTTTATGCCTATGGCCCGATCGTTGTTTGTCAGAATGTATTCTACGAATATTGTTTCACATGTTGATAGCAAATTTAGTTTACATGTACACCCTTTGAGGGTCAAAGACGTGCATGTGCGTCATCCGCCATCAGCCACAATACAGTCAAATACGTACATGTACAGTCTGTTTCATACTTAGCGAAATCTCGAAGTACATGGCATTGCGACACGGCCAACGCTGCAGTCGCGTGTGGGCAGCCGTTTGGCTTGCACATGTGCAGACATTTTAGGGGCGTAGCGTCCAACTGTGTCGAACTGTTGTCAGCTGCGGCGGCAAATCACTGCAACGCTGGCCGTTACCGTGCGTCGTGCAGTCCAAGATTTCCCCTAAGTGTTGAACAGACTGTATATCGTTGCCTGTGTGTTTAAAATGTGCATTCCTTTGATCATTTCTCTTGCTTGATATGTGCTGCCATATTTTGAAAATTCGCTTTTTCTTTTGCGTTGTTTTTTATGCTTTCCCAATCACCTGCTCATTAGTCACTACAGTGATCACGAATAACTCAATTGGCACTTGCAACAGTACCCACAAAACTGCTGAGTTGGTCACATTTTGTTACCAGTGATCACAAAGTGGATTTTTGCAGCGATCGTCACACTGTGTCTCTAGTGATTCATTCATTTTTTATACACATCCTGATAATATTTCCCCTTAAATTCACTCCAAAGCTATTCACTCCACGCATCCCCAAAAATTCTGGGTCACTTTGAAGTCGCAATGTAGTCAGGAATAAATTTGCTGGTGTCTGGCTCAAACCGGCTGGCGGTTGGATTAATTTCAGTGGCACTTGGATTAAAATGACTGGCACTTGAATTAGTTTGAGTGGTGGCTAGATTAATTATCTAGCAGTTGGATTAACTTGAGTGGGAAAACCTGTAGTGATTGAGACAATTCTTTGCCAGCTCTGGGAGAGCCAGATGAGTCACACAGACAATTTTGGCTTTTTACAATGTGGCAGCTTCAACCAAAACGGTGATAGGTTAAACATAAATTTTCAAGTAGATAGCACCCTCTGGAGTCACTGTCGTATTTTTAATGAAAACTGGGAGGGGGGGGGGGGGGGGTCTGGTTTAGGGCAGGAGGGGGAGAGAGTTGATAAGTGTCAGTTTAGATCCGCTGTCTAGAAATGAGTCCACTCAGCTAATCTTAGCTCTTGTTGTGTTTACAAGGGCATACTGTACCAGGAATTCATCAAGGGCTCGGAAGGGGTGCTGCGAAGAGCTGGCTAAGGATACGTTGTAGACTTTGAGACAGCAGCTTCGGATGGTCACTTGGATGTGAGATGTCTCTTTTGACGGCACTGAAAGCACATGACTTCGGTCAAATTCTGGTCAGAACAATATGCTGGAGCACCATGCTGGCAGAGATGGCTACGTATCGAGGCTCTTGTTAGTAATTGAAATTTGCTGTGGTCTGCTTGTTTTGTTTGATACGGTCGGGAGATTTTTGCACTCTTTTCTGCAGGAGGGTTTCTGTTGGCTTGGTATTGATCGTTTAGTACCTGAACACCATGGGCATGGGTTTCAATGAGATGAGTGGGTCTAATGTTTGATCATGCTGTGGTACAATGTCCATATACATGGCGACGGTTTCGCGTGCTTATCCTAAGCTGTCCCTGAAAAATCTGACTCACTCCCGACACGTGCATGCGAAACGTCCTGAAAGACTCCGCCCATGGCGCCACAGTCGACTTCCGCTACCGGGTGAGAGGAGTTAAATGTCAGTCCCCGCTCCACCAGCGCGGCAGACCATGGAGGAGGGGAGTCATGTCGGGACATGAGAACGGCAGAAATAGCGAAGCCCGCGCAATGGCGGCGGGCTAGCCTCAATTCCCACATCCCCCTCCCCTAAATTTGCCCTTTACCGGTCTGCAAAGGCAGCCAGACTCCACCCATGCAGTTAAAATGACACTACTATGAGCAACAACTAATCTCAGTCCAGCCCTGTAACTGCTGCTAAAATTAGGATGACAAATATGAAACATTAATAACAAAATAAACACATGACACCATAGAAATGTTTGCGAAAGGGAGCACAGGGAAGTAAGGCTAGTGTTTGTGGTGCTGAGGTGGGATAGCCTCCACCCCGGGGAGGGGCAGAAGAGCGTGACAATGTCCGCTGGGTGCGATGCCAGTGTGTAAGGTCAGAGGCACGGAAAGGGGTTCTCTGATGGCATGGCTGCGGTTGATTAATCAGCGAATCCGACGAACGCCGCTTCGGTGGTGGTTCAGAGGCCCCGCATTTCTCTATGAATGACGGGGAAACCTCGCTGGGAAGCCGGGCTTCTCCAGAGATCAGGGAGGCCGAATCGTAATCAGCTGCGAGGCGCCCTGGCATTGGCAGGGCGCCTCGCAGCTGATGGCACTAGTCTTGCGTGGAGAGAGTGAACAGTTAATTTGATGTTCTGCACAAGAAAATTAGTGAATGGTATTTTGGAGGCGCTGCGTTAGAGTGCTTCGAGCTTGCGGCGGAGGCGAACGAGCGCATCAAATGACCTCACATGTGAGACTTGAGCGCCACCTAGCAGTCTTCTTGCAAAACGAAGTGCGTGGCTCTGAGACGGGTAGGTGCCACCACCATCGCGTCTTAGCAAAGCGTTGGAAACACTCACCTTTTCGTGCAAGCGTTGCATGGTCATCGCAGCGTGATAAGTGCTACGGTCCTTAAAATTACTTATGTATGCATTTTCTAGTAAAAGATGCACATGCAGAATATATACGTGTTGTTATGGTGCCCCAGACTTGTGCAATAATTGCTTATTAATTCACAATTGCACAAGTATGAACGCTAAATCTTGAGCAACATTGGTGGGCGCTGCGGATGGGGTCGGCCGTTTCAAGTACCCGGTGCTGTTAAGAGTGGACAAACAGACAAATGTGTAGACCAAATGTGCAGACAGACAGACCAAAATTTTTGCGTCAAAAGTCCCCAAGAAAGACTATCGTCTATAAAAAAAATCACTGCTCGTTGCTTAGCACCGCACCCCGCTGGTCACGCTGCAGGAAGAACAAAACTGTAACTAGAAAAAGGTCTATAGACGCTAGCTCACGGTATACTGTCTGAAGCCTATGCTTTCCATCATTCTCATGGTGGTACAACGATAACAGTGCCAATTTTTTCCAAGTCGTTGTGTGAAACACCATGTACCCAATGGTTCAACTTAGCTTTCTCCAGTAGAAAAATGCTGAGTGCTGGCATTGGCGGAAAAATTTGAATTGTTGTGCGCTGTAGTCTAATGCTATAGAGAACTGTTTATTATTGCACATTGGTGTTTATTGCAGAAAATAGCTGCCTCGGTTGGTTTTTAAAAAGTTTAATGAACTGTATTTTAGGACATTTTTTTATTATATTACTGATATATTTGTGTGATTAATTTGTTATTTAGGTATTTTCTCGCATTAATAAAATGCTGATGCCACCGGAATGACGTTTTGTTTCCATGTGACCACCGCCTGCACAACGACAGGCACACATGAACAAAAATAAACTTGGTTAATACGTAGAACAGTTGATGCGATAAATTATGTAGGTGAAAATGTGTAACTTGTAATCCATCTGGTTTCAAGTGGTCTTAAAGGGGAACTCCGGTGTACTTCCGACCATACTGAGACAGTCCTGCAAAAGCTAGGGTGGTTCATTTTCCCAGGCACTCGTCAGTAACTTTAATTAAGCAATAAACAAGTCAAAACAGAAACAACGAGCGGCTCCATCATCCATAGTGGGCATTGGATGATGTCACGAGAATTCGTCGCCGTTGACGTCACAAGATCGGCTACACTCCGCTACAGCTGGTCAGGGTATAGAGGTCTGACCACATATATTCGCTGCAGCGCGTGGCTTTTAGACGCCGCGCCCACTCCCTATGGAAAGAGAGTGTGGCTACATTCCCTTCCTTTCCATAGGGAGAGGGCGTGCCGCCGCCTCAAAAAGCAACGCGCTGCGACGGGTAGGTGTAGTTAGGCCCTAAACGTAGCTCATGTGCCTCTTCTGACTAAAAGAAAGTTGGCGATGTCATCCGACGCAGAAGCAAGCTGTGCCAGCTTCTCTGAAGTTACCAGTGACAAGTTCAGTGATGATTGCAGCTATTGTCTGGACGCAGAAGCATCGCTTTTTGATTTCGACTTGCTAGCACGTTAATTCTCTGACAGGCCCTGAATCTGTCTCCTCGTTGCTCAATATCCTAAGACCCGACGTCAACGACGACCAACACGCTGTATGCAGCTGGCAAAACTAAGCTGTGCTCGCGTTGTCATCACTGGTCGTTGCCTCGTAGAAGAGAGTGCGCGCTGCAGCTGTTTGCTGGGAAAGGTGGGGTTTTTTTAAATAGAGTAGGCATTTCGTCACATACACTAGGTGGCCTGCATTTACAAGTGGTTCCAGAATCAGCTTCCAATATTAAAGTTTGTTTTCTAGAAAACTAACTGACTTACGGTGGTATAACTTGGTATATATCACAACGGTACAGACGACAACACATGTTCAAAATTATATTGAAATCGGCGAATATTGAAAAACGCCGGAGTTCCCCTTTAACTGGGATCAATTAGTTCCAGTTGCAGGCCAACTGGTTCCCTGCACTTAGCAGCTGCCCCCACATTTAACTCAATTGGTCTCAATCGATTCCAGTTGGCAGCTGGTCCCAGTTATAACCCAACTGCCCACCAGCGGGAACCGTGACCAGTTGGAACTGAAAGTAGCTGGTGTACTTACGGTGCTATGATGGTTTCGAAGAGCTCGGGAACCATAGTACATGAATAGTGTTTGTTTAATCTGTGATTCCATTTTATTCTTGATTGCAAAGCTGCACGTAAAATATGAGGGAAGATTTACACGTCTCTCTTGTGACGCAGGGACAGCCAAGACTGAGGAGGCAGGAAATAAAAAACACTGCAGCTGACGACCCCTGGTGGTGACTGGTTAATGGATGCTGAGGGTGCTGCGCTCGGGCTGTGTGGCCGCCTCGAGCAACACACAGCACCCGCACGAGCCGAACAGGTCATGCAGCGCGGCCAGCCGTTGCCTGCAGCGATTAGGAGTTAACAGTGTAACATCACGCTTTTGATTGGGTGATGTGTAATGTTAAGACAAGGGTTCGATGAGGTTAGGTTATGCTGAGATAGTTCCAACAAGTTTATGTTACCACGAGGTTAGGTATATGTTACGACGAGGTCAGGTTCGCTTAGGTTATGTTACGATGAGGCTGTGTTACTACGAGGTTATTTTCACTCCGAGGTTAGGTTACCCTAATAAACGAGCCAAACATCACGTTGTAGTGAGGTTAGGTTAACAGTGTAACATCACGCTTTTGATTGGGTGATGTGTGATGTTAAGACAAGGGTTCGATGAGGTTAGGTTATACTGAGATAGTTCCGACAAGTTTATGTTACCACGAGGTTAGGTATATGTTACGACGAGGCCAGGTTCGTCGAGGTTATGTTACGATGAGGCTGCGTTACTACGAGGTTATTTTCACTCCGAGGTTAGGTTACCCCTAATAAACGAGCCCAACATCACGTTGTAGTGAGGTTAGATTAACAGTGTAACATCACGCTTTTAATTGGGTGATGTGTGATGTTAAGGCAAGGGTTCGATGAGGTTAACTTATGCTGAGATAGTTCCGACAAGTTTATGTTACCACGAGGTTAGGTATATGTTACGACGAGGCCAGGTTCGTCGAGGTTATGTTACGATGAGGTGTTACTGCAAGGTTTGGTTACGACGAGGTTATTTTCACTACGAGCTTATGTTACCGTAATAAACTAATGAGCCCAACATCACATTTTAGTTAGGTTAGGTTACTATGAGTCAGGTTAGGCGAGGTTATGTTAAGTTAGATTAGGTTTCTACATTAGGTTCAATTAGACAAGATTATTTTAGGTTAGCTATTCAAGTGGTGTTACACGGCGCCGGGCAGCGGTGGCAGGCCGGACAAGTACAGTAGCGGCCCGTCTCCCCGGCCAACGGTGAACAAGGAGTTGGCTGCCGCTAGCAGCAGGCCCTGCGTGAGTCCCCGGTCTTGGAGCACGGTGGGGGTCAGTAGTAGCATGTTGCACAGTGCGCTACCGCAGCGAACCACTACCAAAGCGGCGGTGACGGGCTCCTCGCGCTGCTGCTGTAGTGCGCACAGTGCGGCGGGTAGCGCATGCCAGCTGGACCCGGCCACAGCTGCGACGCACAGCGGCCACGACAACGCGGCAAGCAAGCGTTGCAGGTCGTGGCGCGATGCAGCGGCGCTCACCATAGCGGCCACCAAAACAGCGTGCAGCGCCACTCCCGTGGCGGCCGGGTAGGTGCCGCGCCACCACGTCGTCTCTTCGTCAGCGGCCCGCAGCGCCAGTGACAGGGCTCCGATGGGGCACGCCCTGCGCAACAAGTCTGTGATGAATGGTACTACAAGTTAAAGGGACCATATGACATGGTCACCCAACATTGTGTGGTTTTCCAGAAAAGTACAAGTAGAGGGTTTATTGTGTCTATACAGATCTAAAAATTGAGCTGTGAAAGAATATTTTATTAGGGCAAAAGACTATATAAATCGCTGGCTGTAATCTCCCTGGGCGCAGTGACCGCCATTTCGCCATGACAGCTATGACGTCAGGTCATCAATCAAGGAGCGGTGTCGTCGTTGCAGTGTACTAGAATATACTGTACCCTATATCGTAGTCTTCTACCACAAGCATCTGGGGCAGATCGTTAATTTTGGCGTACAATAGACGAAATCTCTAATATCTTGATTTCGCGCACAATTAACGGTGAAACAACAAGTCCATTCGATTCACCCTGCACTTCCAGAACTGGTGCAAGGTGGTGCCGTCCGGGTGTTGTCTTCGTGCAGGTGACGTTTCTGCAAGTGCAGCAGCAACGAGACGCGAAACGAATACAGGAGTGCAGATGTCTTGCAAGCCTTTGCTACTCGTCGGCTGTCTCGCGGGTTGTGGAGGCAGTGATTTGTAGAAGACTACGCCGCTTTCGTTGCTTAGGAATGTGTCTACTGGTAAATGTTCACTGTCGTACTTGTTGGACGCCATTAACACCAATTGAAACAAGACACGAACGCAACCAGCTGTGTTGTCTGCTGCAGCTGCAGCCATCTTGTGCTGCACGGTCTCTGCACTACTTCACGGGCACGTGCAAGGGATTTGTGAACTGGCCTTGTACGAAAACTGCACTTTTTCGAAACCAATACTGCGGTGCCGCTGTCTCCATGTTGAACTCATGAAACGAATGCCAAAGTGCAGCGCTTCCGTCAACCGGTTCACTAAGTGCAGGTGAAACAAATGGACCGAATATCGTTCGCTGGAATGCAGACTCTCACATAGCTAGCTGTTGTTGCGTCTGAGCCACAGGGTGGTAACAGTGGTACCTTTCCTTCCTCCGTGCTGTTACAGTGTACTAGAAGCGGGCAGTGGAGTGAACGAGGCGGCCGCGCCGTATCTCATTCTCCTGCGGGTGACAATAGCGGCGGCGCTAGAGTCGCATGGTGCTGAAGATCTCAGAACCGTCTGCATTGGGAGCGCGCGCTAGTAGCCCGCGAAAGCGTGTGTTTGCTTGTTTTTTGCGCGTTTAATGCGTTTCAGAGCCTTTATAAGTGTATACACACCTGCTAAGCGCAATAGTGCACGAGATAATATGCAGACACGCAAAAATTGCGTAGTGACATTCACTGTTTCAAGAGCCTGCCGACAAAAAAAATAAGAAAACATGTATGACATTCATCATTTGCATGGATCCACTTAGCTTTTCACTACATCATAAGTGGCTACTGGCGAGCTACAAAAAAGGGGAAGTATCAAAACCGTGAATAAATCCTACGCTCGTTTCGTCGGCAGTACCTATATCCAGAGCACTCTTCCTCATATAAGTCCACACGCCCTCTATTGTTTCGTGAGAAACCCGACTATAAGTAATGTTGTCACCACATTTATATCAGTGACTACTTAGTTTTATCATCCCAGTTTTGCGGAAAATAATTAATGCTTTCTGAAAGGGTTTCTTGTTTCAACCGCGTGCTTTCGCGCTCACTTCGCTTCTTTTATGCAAGCTCCAGGAGGCCAAGCCAGGGAGCCGAGCTGAAAGAACGCCTGCACCTCCTAGTCAAGAACTCCCTACGAAAGGGGTTATTTTAAACACACTAGAGAGTGCCAGTTGTATAGTATACATAGCCCGTCTGTTACTCGGCATAAATTCACTGTAACCAGTTCTCATTTTGTATCGGCAGCTTAAATTGTACTGCGAGCTGAAAGAACGCCTGTACCTCCTAGTCAAGAACTCTCTACAAAAGGGGTTATTTTAAACACACTAGAGAGTGCCATTTGTATAGTATACGTAGCCCGTCTGTTACTCAGCATAAATTCACTGTAACCAGTTCTCATTTTGTATCGACAGCTTAAATTGTACTGCTTTCCTAACATTATATTGGCATAATGCCGTTCCAGGCCGGAAAATTTATGGCGATGTTTAGTATTATAGGTGTAGTTCTTTTACTAAATGTCAACAGTGTAGGCAGGAGTTGGTGCATTTTGTTTTAAGAAATATAACTTGTATATTGTATACACAGCAAACACGCACGCAAAAACGTGTGTTGTATATATATATATATATAATATATATAATATATAGAGGAGTATATATAGAAGATATAGATATATTAGTAGTGATATATATATAATCTCCACAAGAACAACGCATTTAGTGACACGGTCCCCTTAAGGTGCCCCTTAAAACAGCCGCTATTTTAATGCCGTGCATTTTTTGTTCAACTACGTTAGATTTGAACTAGTTTTGAGACCTCATACTGTCGCAACGGTAAAATTTACAATGCGCAATAGTACAGAGGCACGCTATATTCAGCTTCGTCAATTGTGGACGTTCGGCGCAGGGCTACCCAGAAGTGTTTTTTTTTTTTTTTTTTAGGGGAGGGGAGTGAGCCCCGTCCTTTCTAAATAATTTTCGATCTCTCACAAGGTCGTTTATGAAGCTCAAATTCAGTAGATTGGCGTGTCATACTTCAAGGGTTACGACATCATGAATGATGGGCAGGTACGAAGCAATCTGCATCAAAAAAGCGCACCGGAGAAGCCGGAGCGCATAGCAGTCCCTGCGTGCGGCTTTTTCAGTATTATTCGACTGCAGCGCCGCCGCTACGGGCAACGCGAAAGGCATCAGGCGGCGAGGTGTGGCCACGCCATTCAACACTTCTAGTACGCTCTAGTGCTGTTAGAGTTGGAAAAATATTCAATAATAAATAAACTGATTGGGCAAATGCACTAAACTTTTGACAGCTTATTTTTAAATACTTGAATAACCCGCATAACACATGCATGATCAAAATCGGATGTCATAGCTCCTTTGGAGAGACTACCGCTTGGGAGAAGTTTCAGATTGTGGCGAAGATGAGAAGGTCGTTCATCGCATCGACGGCAATGAGACTGCTTTTGTGCCATAAAAACGGGATCGTAATTTGACACTGAAAGTCTACACAGAATAACCGCAAGCATCATCCGGCAGCAACGTTGTCAATCTACTGGCAGAACAAGAAATTATCTCGGGTATGCTTGTGTCCAACTTCAACTTGTATTGTAATCATTTGAAGCAGATTTCGGTTGCGCGCAAGGCATTAGCGCACCTAGGATTACTCTCTGGAGTGGGGGGGGGGGGTGGGGGGTGGGAACTTGAGATAAAATAAAATACCATATAGCAAATAATCATTACATTAGTTATATTACCTGCAATATTAAGTATTATTATATACACTGTGATTACGATGACAACGATGTCTAGGCGTTCTTACCGGGAAACCTTGGAAAACATTGAAGGCCAAGAAACCGTGCGATGAAGCTGTGCACGTAGAAAATAAACGGCAGATTTAATAAAAGGTGTAACATAGTTCCCAACAGAGATGTCTGGCAAATACTTATTCTTTCTGGCTTTTCAGCTCCGTTTAGTGATCATAGTGCTGACGTGTCGGTCGGCTGGCGGTCAAACAATGCGGTTTAAAAAAAAAAAGGTTTGATTTTTGTGGCAGAGCTAACAAATGCAACGTAAGAAAGGCACACGACGACACCTGGCGCAGTGTGCCTTTTTAGTGTCCCATTGTGAAGTTTGTATTCTTATCTGAGTTATTCGTAAACGCCATACAAACATGTCCCATTGGCAACTGAGGATGTCTCATTGGCAACTTCAGCAGTTAAAATAATTGCAACTGAGGATTTTCTGGACAATGCGAACAGAATATCCTATATATTAAACTTCCTTTGAGCCTCGTCAGACTACAAGTATGAAAATGCACTGTAAATATTGGTTATATAAGCTTTGCGATATTGATTACAATCTATGTACAGCTCAATGCAGTGCATGTGCAGTAAAATTCCCAGCTTATGAATGAACAGCATTGTAACTACGCTTACCGATTTGCAATGTCATTCGAGCGCTCAAGTTCAGCGACTGAGCATCCTCAGTAATGACTAATTTATGGAAGCATCTGGCGGTGGTATGGGCCGTGTAATCGCTTCCTTTTTGGCCGCAATCGAGCATTCTGGTGCTGTTGCTGCGTGTCTTGAATTTTAATGCGGAATCTTTTTCAGAATGTTGGTGAAGATAGTGTTCCTGGTGCTTCAGCGATGCCTGTCTGGAAGCGCGCAGCAGACGCAGTGCGCTAGTTGTAGCAAGCGAACTGAACGTAAGCATGCATGGGTAGCTTTCGTCCGACGTGCAAGAAAGAAGGGATAAAAAAAAAACAGCGTGACAGATAGTTTCTGTGTGTATTCCACCCGACATACTTTTCGCAAATTCCTGAAGCCGTTTTTCCCATTAGGCTACGGAACGCAACAGCGGCCCTTGTCGCTGAAAGCGCACGACCGCGTGTGGCTCAACGAATTTCTCATACGAGGGACGTTCCAGTGTTCCTCAGTGGTTCACGTCATGATACACGAATACCGGGTGTTCAAAATTAAGCTTTATGATTTTTTTAAAATTAGGCGCTCGAAGGCACGTGAGAACCACTTGTGCAAATAAGTTAAGCGGCCAGGGGGACAGAAAGTTAGATGATAATTATCGCTGTCAGCAGCCCAATTAACTAAAATTTAATAATTAACTTTTTACTGGCTGCGGTAAGTTGGCATGTTTATATTGAAAAAATGTAGGCAGTGGTGTTTGTACACAGTTTCAGTTGGAAGATTTTTTCTAGCACGCCTGTGTTCCGAGATATCCGGCTCCAAAGTTTAATTGTCTTTCGCACGATTACGCATGCAAGAGGGTGAGGGTCCGCGCAAAGCTCCTCCCTAAAGTGACGCATCTGTTGCGTGTGGTGTTTAGTGTGTGAAGAGGGTGGAAGCGTAGGCATAGGTGATAGCAATTACCCTTGCCCTCTTCGGCCGGCGAAATCAAAATGTGACAGCGCGGTGCGCCATGAGCCTTACGCATGATCCTGATGAACGCGATAACAGGAGACCATTTTTCGCGACGTTTTTTCGTGACTTTAGATCACACTGAGACATCTTCTTGTGAACGCGTTAGCAGGACCGTCCTGCACTAGGGTGCCTCCGGTTAGAGCACAGCGTCTCTGCATTGAAGGTCTACCAAGGAAATCCACGTGGAGTCCTTTCGAGCTAATATGGCTGCTTCTGGCGTGAGGTATTCTACCAAAGTAAAAGTAGACGTGGTGCTTGCAATGGCTGAAATGAATGGCAACGCTTCGTTAGCAATGGAGCTTTACGCGTCTCGCCACCCACACCGTCCCCTTCCAACAAGGCCCACTTTCACAAACCTGTTTCGACGCTTCTGCACAACAGGCTCTGTCCACCTTCCGAGACGGACCAGGAAGGCAATCGTCGATGAAGACTTTGAAATCGACGTTGTCGCGTGCGTAACCTCGATGCCAGAGCTCAGCATCCGACAGATTGCCGATCAGTGCGGTCGCAGCATCGGAACAGTCACAAATGTTTTAAGAAAGCATTAAGTTCCATCCATATCACGTTTACCTTCATCAGGACCTAAATGAGGCGGACTTTGAAAGGCGAGTTGACTTCTGCAATTGGGGCCTCATCAAAACTGATCAAGAAAATGACTTTTTGCACAGAATAATTTGGACTGATGAAGCTCGGTTTTGCCGAAATGGAAGTGTTAATCTTCACAACGCCCATTATTGGGCACAAGAAAACCCACACTGGCTGAGGCAGCACAAGCATCAAGTTCGCTGGAGTGTGAATGTGTGGTGCGGCATACTCGGGGACAGGATCATCGGACCTCACTTTTTTGAGGACAACTTGAACGGAAAGATGTACACAGAAGAAATATTAGGTGTTGTCATTGATGATCTTGTCTGCAGTCTTTCCCTGAATGACCTGCGCCAAGTATGGTTTCAGCACGATGGAGCACCACCACATTTTTCTACCAGGGCGAAGAACTGGTTGGACAGACGTTTTCCACAACAGTGGATTGGGCGCGCAGGAGCGATGTTTTGGCCACCAAGATCACCTGACCTTTCTCCGCTCGACTTTTTCCTTTGGGGCTACGTTAAAGATCGAGTTTACGTAACAGAGCCCAGCGATGTTAATGACATGAAGGACAGGATAACATCTGCCTGTGCGAGTATTCCTGCAGAAGTACTGCGCCGAGTCATCGAGTCGACGCGACAGCGGTTCATGCTTTGCGTTGCTGCCGAAGGCAGGCATTTTGAACACTTTTTGGGGCATTGACGTCTTGAGAGGTGAAGAGTTTCGATGAGATTTGTGCATGACCGAAATATGCTTATGTAGCAGCAGGAAATATGCGTTAGCAAGGATAAAACTGTTTCAGTTATTATTGGTGGAGTTGTTGCTCTTGTTTCAATAAAAGTTACAGTACTCGGACATCAGCAGTCACGCTATTCGCGTAGCCCAGGCAACGACCACGCATGCTTCTCTAGTGATTATTACGCACGCGCACTGGCATCCAGATTCTCCGCTCGCACCATTATCTCGGCATGGTATCTGCCACTATCGTTAGAGGCTCTGCAGTTGCGTGTTACGACACTGGTTGCAAGCGTTCTTCGATTTTTGATTTCGACGGCCGAAGAGGGCAAGGGTAATTGCTATCACCTATGCCTACGCTTCCACCCTCTTCACACACTAAACACCACACGCAACAGATGCGTCACTTTAGGGAGGAGCTTTGCGCGGACCCTCACCCTCTTGCATGCGTAATCGTGCGAAAGACAATTAAACTTTGGAGCCGGATATCTCGGAACACAGGCGTGCTAGAAAAAATCTTCCAACTGAAACTGTGTACAAACACCACTGCCTACATTTTTTCAATATAAACATGCCAACTTACCGCAGCCAGTAAAAAGTTAATTATTAAATTTTAGTTAATTGGGCTGCTGACAGCGATAATTATCATCTAACTTTCTGTCCCCCTGGCCGCTTAACTTATTTGCACAAGTGGTTCTCACGTGCCTTCGAGCGCCTAATTTTAAAAAAATCATAAAGCTTAATTTTGAACAACCGGTATATCACAAGCACAAGTGCGCAATCACGAACTGTCAGTGGTCAAAAAATCCACGTGCTTAAATAAAAGTTCAGGAAAAACACTCGCAACGAATAAAAAAAAACGTGTTTACCCTGTGCAACTTCGCAACGACAAAATGTCTTGCCAAGCAGACGAGGAGAGGGTAAAAGCAGCAAAATTGACTGGTGCAGCCAAACAAGTTGCGTTGACTGGGACAACAAGTGTGACGTAGGTCGCTCATGTGGAGGGGGCTGAAGAGGCTAGTATAGGTGGTGTTGGCTTAACTCGCATTGGTTTTGTTTTTGTATGTACCCGAATGGTTACCACAGCCCCTTTGCAAACGCGTCTTGCCAACGATTGCGCACAAGCGGCTACATAGTAAAATGACAAATAATAGAAGTAGAGAGAAGTTTGGCATGGAAACTAGAATTAAACATGGCGTTCTTGGCATAGCGTTCGGGTTCATTATTACGCGACATAATTCTGATGCCGAAGCCCGGGAATCAGAGAGCTTACAGTGGAGCTATCGGTCCTTTCATTGATATCCGCGCACAGCGGACCTGCTCGTCAACTACAACGTAAAGATGGCGTATAGTGCTTGCGCATGACGACAGCACACGTCTGCTACTGTGAAAACTGGGCAAAGTTTTTTCAGTGCACCTGGGAAAGGACGACTAGCTTGTGCTCAAACAAATAACCGACCAGTTCAGAAAATTAGGTATATATTTTGGAGGGAAAATAACCCCCGTATTCACAAACGCTCCTCGGCTCGACTTTCTTCTTTCACTTGACAGAGCTCAGCACTGCGCCACCACTCAGCTGAAAATGACGCTGCGTTACTCAAGAATCACAGCAGATTATTGTTGATATGCAGTGACTTGCCGTGCCTAGAGACGGCGCTCCAACCTGCTTTCTCAAGTGAAGGTGAAGCGTTGAGTGTAGGGACGTTCTAGAATACGGGGGTTAGAGGAGTCAAGTGCCAAGTGATCGCCTTGGCCGCTTGGGAATATGGTACCGATGGTTGCGTATATGAGCGGCAACATGGAAGAATATAGAAGAGAAGGAGGAAGAGGAAAACACGGGAGCTCTTGCTGTAGGGCTCAGGTTCATCATTACGCGACATCTATACCTACTGGCTGGTACAATTACGCCCTTTTCCTATGAAGGGCACGCAGTAGCGCCGCGTCAGAAAGCTGCTGGTTAGACCTTCAATGCCACACGTACCCATTACAGCGCGTGAATTTTCGATGCGGGGTCATGTGCTCGAGAGGAGGAGGGGGGGTTGTAGCTGTGCGCACTCTCAAGAGAGGGCGTCGCGCAGCGGTCAGGCCTATAGTTTCATTGTCGCGTTGTTCACTCTCAGTACCATGCACTAACTGGGCCTTCAAGGCACCCTCCTGTGCGGATGGAAAGAGACGCACCATGCGAGCAG